GAAACCGAGGACGGGGAAATCAAGGGGAGTGACGAGTTAGAAGGCTAGCCATTTTGTAAAGTGAATATAGATTTCAGATATAGATCATGATCTTGTAAACAAAAGTTTAATTGGAGATTTTATAAATTCAGTTAATGGAATGTTAGTTACAAGAGATTTGATCTGGAGATTTTGAGGTTAAGTCATGTGGACATAGAAAAGAAATTTTGAAATATCCGATCTGAGTTACGGGATTGTCAGACGTGAATTGGATAAGTTTCAAGCCTTGTGCATTTGTGGGACCCGTCTCACGAGTGCACGGCGTCTGTCGCGCCTCGAATTTGGGTTTTGGGGCGTGACAGATTTAGTGGTATCAGAGCTTAGGTTTGATTAAGATTTTGTGATGTGAGAGCCTAGGTTTAAGTGAATACCTAGGATATGTTTTGAACTTGGCTAGTTAATGGATTTAGAACCGTGGTGAGACGAGTGATGGGGTTATACAAGGGACGATTCTGGTTTAGGTTGCCTGAATTTTCTGATCTGCTTTGATGAGATAGTAATTCAGTTAGTTCCTGTTATCTGCCGTTGGTGAGCATTTTTGAAATTAATCTTGCTCACTATGCTCTTAGGACTTTGTTTGAAACTTGGTCCTTTGTGATAGTATGCTTGGTTTTGGTTGTGGTAGGATGTATAAAGCCTTCCACATTAGGTCTGTTTGTTTAAGTATTCATCTGGGCATTCATACATGAATGCAAACATGGACATACATAAGCATATACACGCATACATGCATGCACACATGAGCATTCATACATGCATGCATAAAGGCATTCATTCATACATGCATATGCATGCATTCATGATTCTGTATATCCGAGTGATGTTTATTCGTCTCGGATAGGGTTCCATCGTTTAGTTGGATTCATCATTTGACTCCCTGTCATGTTGTGTTTGATGAGTGCCGAGTCTTGATGTAAGTCAAGAGCACCACATAATAACGCCGATAACTCGAGTTTAGTTACTTGTGTTGAGGCGTGAAGTTATCTCCTGCCTCCCAAATGACCATTGGAGAGGATGGAGATTGAGATTGTTGTTGGCTTGTTAGAGTAAGTGATGAGTACCTAGTCCCCGTAAAGTGAATCTGACTGTTGTATCTTTGTGATTCTTAGCCCTGTATCTTGTGATTGATTTCCTTGTGATAGTTGTGTTTGATATTAGAGTAGTGCAGCGGAAGCGTAGTAAGCCATATTCTGATCATAGAAAGTCGGTGAGGCGTTTGTTTTGTCTTAGATTGTGTGAAGCCATTCACCAATCGAAATGGTCCTCAATTTGAGTTTTGGGGACAAAACTCCTTTTTATGAGGGGGGGATGTAATATCCCAAAATTTTGGGGTATTTTAGCATTAAAGTGGGGACTTATTTGAGGAAAAATATTGTTTTGGGGTTTAATCGCAAAATTTTCAAAAGTTGAGGGACTAAAAAGAAAGGA